CGGTGGCTCTTGTCGTTTCCATCGTCCGTGATCGTTGGTGTGCCAGAATGAACGAAGTGGACCACTTGTTGTTTATGTATGCTACCGAAGGAACGTAAATCATCTTCAACAAACACTTGAGATCCAAAGGGGCCACGATCGTGCGAGATGGTGCCAAAATTCTTGTTGAATCTCCAAGAAACCAATGTGAGTTTCGTATGATCTGATCTCTGGAAGTGAACGATTGTCGGAGAAAACCGGTGTAGCATCCTAACGTTCAAAATTGCTGCATTAATCATAAACAATCACTGAGCATACGAAACAAATAGCGAGATGAGGCATATCGTGATATAAGCCGTAATAGGGTTTTCTCACTTTATACGCTTGTGTGCATCGTGGCTTGCTCATTCCTGCAAATGAGCAGGCAAAACAACCCATCAACCTGAACGTGAGATTGATATCTCGTCCTCGTCTGACAAGGTGCTTGTTGTACGTCAACCAATTCGCATGAAATACACTCTTACACTGCTAATTTGAACGTGAGACAGTTGCCTCATTCGATCTGCGAGCTAGACTCTGAGGTAGGTGCCTCAATCATCGACCGTGCAGGAATAACATCGGGTCTCAAACTGGCGTGCACTATGCCATCGTCGACGTATGCTACCTTAAGCCGTTCGATGTTAATCGTATCGACGCGACCGTGTCGAACAACCTTCAAGACCTTTTCGCGACGCGAAATAACTCGAAAAGGTGCTCCGTAAGGCTGTTGTAACGGTTTACGTACCGCATCAATTCGAATGAATACGTGCGAACAGGTTAGGAGTTCACTGGGTATGAACACCTTCCGTTGCTGTATTCGAGTTTGTGCCGGAGACAAGGATTGCATTAACGTAGACAAATGTTGCACGTAGTCCTGTATTCCAGTGGAATCCATGTTCCGTGGCGTGAAAAATTCTCCAGGCAGTCGTAATGTAGTGCCGAAAACCAGCATGGGGTATCTGCCTCTGCGCATGTTGCTGATGCCTAGCAGAACAAGAGGTAACGTCTCGTACCAATTAAGGTTCTCGTGTGTCCGAAGGGCACCCTTTACTTGACGGTGAAAACGTTCGACTAGACCGTTAGATGCTGGATAGTAAGCAGTTGTGCGAATGCGTTCCGTATCCAGAACTCGTTTTAACGAAGAGAATAATTCTGATTCGAATTGTGCTCCTCTGTCGATCAGGACAGTAGAGCCACAACCGTAGAGTGCTATCGATCGTTCTACGAAATGTCAAGCCACTGCTTCAGCCGTGACAGTAGAGATGGGAATAGCTTCCGGCTATCTAATGAACTTCCAATACACGTGAGTGAATGAGTATACCCGTGTGACGGTGGTAATGGACTTACAATATGGATGTGAACGTGATCGAAGCGAGCGTCAGGCGAAGCAAACGTACCGATAGGTGCAGCTACGTGCCTATGCACTTTCGATCGTTGGCACTGTAAACACTATTTAGCCCATATTCGAACGTCCTTATTCATGGATGGCGAGACGTATCGTGCAGCAATCAAACGAAGTGTTGCTGCGATGCCTGGGTGTGATAAACCATGTAAGGTGTCGAAAACTAAACGACGATAGGATGAGGGTAATATAGGTCGAGGTAGACCTGTGGACATGTCGCACAAGATGGTACCATTAGTAGTCGTTAACGATATCGCCTGACATCTTAATAATATTGAATGGACCGCCTCTTTGCAAGATGAATCATTTGCCTGAGCGTCAGCCACAGCACTGATACCTAAGGGGGACTTTATCGCATTAACTTGAATACGTGATAAAGCGTCCGCAACACAATTCGACTTGCCTTGGACATGCTGAATGTCAGTCGTGAACTGTGAAATATACTGTAAGTGTCTAGTTTCTCGGGGTGAGTAACGGTCAGACTTAGTATGCAAATCATATGTAAGAGGCTTATGGTCCGTACATAAGGTAAAATCTCGACCGTCGACAGCATGTCTGAAATGCTTAATGGCTCTGTAAGCTGCCAGCAGCTCGCGTCCAAAGCACTATATTTGGTTTCTGTGGGTGTAACGCGTCGAGAGTAAAAATCAAGAGGTTGCCAAAACCCAGAAACATGCTGTTGCAAGACCACCCCAAGTGCAAAGTCTGATGCATCAACCGCTATACTAAGCGTGGCTGACGGTACAGGATGCAAAAGCAGCGTGGTCCGCGCTAAATATGTCTTTACCTCTTGGAATGCTACTCATGCGGCCTCCGTAAGCATGAGCTTACGTGGATTACCACGAAGTAGGTCCGTAAGTGATTGCAATCGTTCAGCGGCGTGTGGGATGAATCGTCCATAGAAATTCAATAAACCCAAAAACGCCTTCAGGTCTTTGACTGAGAATGGTAAAGTTTACTCTCTGACAACACGTACTTTATCCTTCCATGGTCAAATACCCTCAGATGTGACTTTGTGGCCATAGAAAATCAGTTCCTTTTTGCCAAGCTCACATTTATCGGGGTTAACCACAATGCTATTATCAGATAAACGTTGAAATAGCAAGCTCAAATGGTGATAATGTTCATCTACATTGGAAGAGGCAATAAGCAAATCGTCAATATAACCGTGAACAAAATCTAAATCTCGAGTTATACTGTCGATAAACCTCTGGAAAGTCTGAGCAGCGTTTCGCAAACCAAAAGGCAAACGTGGGAACTCAAACAGTCGAAAGGAGTCGTGACAGCAGTCGTTCCGACATTTTCAGTGGCGACCGGGATCTGATGATAAGCTCGTACAGATCGATCTTGGAGATATAGTCGTACCATAAATTGAAGCCGTAGTGTCATGTATATGCGGGATGGGATAACTATCGAAACGAGTCACTGCGTTAAGTGACCGATAGTCGCCACATGGTCGCCAGCTAACGCTGTCTTTTTTTAGAACCATGTGTAGAGGCGAGGCCTATAGACTATGAGAAGGACGTACGATACCTTTTGAAAGTAACGTGTCGAGCTCACTCTTAGCAAAAGCTAATTTGTCCGGTGCCAGTCGGCGAGTTCGTGCCGTGACTGGTGGACCCCTAGTGACCATGTAGTGTGCAACACGATCGGTCACTAGTGTTAGATCCTCAATAGGTTTAGTCAACGTGGGGAATCGGGCGATCAATGTCTGAAATCCACTGGGATATCATGCATTAAACCCATGATTCGGTAAACGTCCGTTCGGGTTTTGAGACCCGTGACTTTGATATTCGACGCTGGGTTGATCAANTCCTCAATAGGTTTAGTCAACGTGGGGAATCGGGCGATCAATGTCTGGAAATCCACAGGGATATCAGGCACTACACCCGTGATTCGTTGAGCGTCTGTTCGGGCTTTGAGACCCGTGACTTTGATATTTGACGCTGGGT